AGCTCATCCAGAATGCAGCAGCTCGTCTGGTCTTCAACCTTCCAAAATGTTCCCACACCACGCCGCTCCTCCGCTCACTTCACTGGCTTCCAGTAACTGCTAGAATCCACTTCAAAACATTGGTACTTGCATACCATGCTGCGAATGGATCTGGCCCTTCCTACATCCAGGACATGGTTAAACTGTACACTCCAGCGCGTGCACTTCGCTCTGCATCAGCCAAACGACTCGCTGCACCCTCGCTGCGAGGGGGACCCAAGTTCCCATCAGCAAAAAACACGTGGGTTTGCTATCCTGGCTCCAAAATGGTGGAATGAGCTCCCCATTGAAATCAGGACAGCAGATAGCTTGCGCATCTTCCGGCGCAGACTGAAAACTCATCTCCTTCGACTCCACTTTGAGCGATAGAATTACTAACAAAGAATTATTAACAAAGCACTTATATACTAATAAAGGACTGGCTTATCTATAGCCAGTTGAGTAGCACTTGAAATGTTTTAGCTCTCTGAAACCTGATGTACTTATATGATTCTGTTTTCTTCAAGGTTGTATCTTCCTGGTCGAATGTACTTATTGTAAGTCGCTTTGGATAAAAGCGTCATTTAAATGCAATGTAATGTAATCAAAGACGTTCTATTGAGAAGACGATCACTACGTGACAAAAAAAATTCTAAACCGTTTCTGGTCTTCGGTATTTCCAGACAAGAGGCTACTGAAATCAATCTTACTAACTGCTGTCTGTGCAATTCTCGACGCGAGTTGGCTGACTTTACTTTGCTTACTTTAACATAATTGTTCATGGTGGGGCTAAGCCATTTCTTGGTATGGGTGTAGCCTGACCCTGGCGCTGCCACTGGTGGGATGTATGGGGCGCGCCATTCTGCACATGCGTTAAATGCGTTAAATATTTTAACGCAATTAATTCAAAAAATGTATTACCGCCGTTAAGGCGATAATTTTGACAGCATTATATTAATTAGATGTACACTTTACGAATATAATGTTTTTTTATGGACAACTTTACCATTCAACCTCGTCCAACTGATCTTGCTGCTTTCACTCCTCGGCTCTTGCAGTTCAGGCATTTATCAAACCTGGCAACTCCAGGTTTCCTGGCAGCTGTCAATCAAAGTCCAGTGGCTCCACCCTAACCTGTCAGAAACTTTTCACGTGTGCGCAGACAGACTCCGCGAGCGAGTGAGGCTGACACTCACGCAAGCGAGCAAGAGGGCTGTCACATAGCCGCTCGCGGGGGTTTAATCTGCGCGCAAGGGTCATTTTATGCGCGTTTAAAAGCACATTTTCCGCTCGTGAGTAGCTTGTTTTGCGCGCTAGAATATTGACCCAAATCTGACTCCATATCAATCCTTCTGCATCCTCAGCACCCACGTAGGGACATCAAATGATGTGATTGACAGAAGTTCATGGTGCTCTTTAACGCTTCAGATATATATTTATGTTTGATGTCAAAAAGAGCCCTCAAATAAATAAGTCATTATAAGCATTATAAGTCTTATTTGTCATGAATAACAAACTGTACTAATCGGGCAAAGGGCCCACAGTTTATTTTGAACCAAAAGACCATTAAGCTGTAAAAGCACACACTGGCTCTACTTCACTCAACTTGCCTCACAAAATCTAATTTACCAATTTGGATTGTACCCACTCTTGTGTAAACGAGAGAGATGCTGAATCCTTTCATTGGCAACCAAATGGATGAAGTGGTGTGGTGTTCGTTTAGTTTTGCCAACCACTATTTGAATAAAAATACTGTTAAATCTCAGAGATATGAAAAAAAGAAGATTCAGTCACTATTGATGATTTTGTAGGATATCCAATGACGCGCTACTTAATATTTTCTCTGATCAATCAGCAGGTTACAGGGTTGCCACCATTTAGTTGCACTTGTAAAGTCTGCTGAGGTGCTATGAAAAAAAGGTACCAGGTAATCTTAAGTGGAAAAACCAAAATTGCAAGTCAAGTCGAATCCCACTATTATTGGCTAAAAATGTACCTTGTTATTATGGTCGTGGGCAGACTCTGTGTCTTGTTGTTTGCCTGGTGGGGTAGAGGAGCTTCTGGGGGGGAGGACAGGAGGAGATGAGGACACTGGTCCGTGTGCAGATTGATTGGCCTTCCAATCCTTGTCAGGGCTCCTTTGTCCTCTGTCTTCACCTTGTAAGGCTATTGGTGAACATTCTCTTGGCGTTTGGTTAGTTTTGGACTTTCCTCGATCTGATAGGTCCAGAGGCCCATCGCATGCCCCTCTTAGCTCTGCAAAGACCCTTTCAGTCTTAGATGGCAGGATTTGCTTCTTTTCCGGGGGCATAGTTTGACTGTTCACAATATCTGACATACTTCTCAACCGGACCACCACAGTGGGCTCATTGGCCAGGGGTTGAGGGGTGCTGTGCCTGGTCAGGCTGAACCCCTGTCTTCTAGGGCTGGCATGATGGCTGGTGGGGATCAGGTTGGGATAGCGTGGTGGGTTTGGTCTCTGAGAAGGTTGCACCACCAGGCTGGTCCCCGGAGCAGGCGGGCTGACCCAATCAGAGGACTCAGAGAGGTGCCAGGGGAGAGTGGCAGGGCAGGTCTGGATTGGCTGAGGACGGCAGGGGACGGGAGCATGGAGCACATGTCTGCTGGGTCTCCCTTCTCCGCCAGTTAACGTAGGAAAGTTCTTAAGAAGCAGAGCTTGAGGAGGGAGGGAGGGTCGCTGGTCCAGACCTTCTACACTCTGAGATCTGAGAACAGAGGCCAGGCAGACAGGGGGGAGAGTCACATGTCAGAGCAGGTCATCAGACCACAGGGTTGGGCAGCTGCATTACATACTAACTGCACTGAACAAACTGAAACGTTGACTTTAATTAAATGTATTATGCCAACATATTTCAAATAACTGTATTAGGTTAGTTAAAATAAATAACATGAAGTTTAAATAAAGATGAATTAGGTTAATTTTAAAAGAATTTCTTTCAACTAACCTAATACAGTTGTGTGAAATGTGTTGACATAATACATTTAGTTAAACTCAACGTTTCAGTTTGTTCTGTGTGTTATATGCAAGCCCCGGAGGGTTATTTTTAAATCAGTAACCTAATCTGAGTATCAAAATATAAAAGTAATGTATCCTGATTACTTTCTGATTATCTTAATATCAAATGTGATGCAAATAAAACAAGAGAAAATAACAATAAGATGTTTTTTACTTAAGTGTAACAATGTAAACCTAGAGAAGTAGAAACCAAGATATATTATATCAAAATGCAGTAACAGTCATAGTTCACAAATGCTGCTTGAATTTAATACATTAGTCAAAAGCAAAATGTATTGTGTAACTGTTTAATAAACCAGGTGTCCACCTACTGCATTAAAAATAAAAGTATTTAAAATAAAGAATTAAAGTACCCTAAATATAAACCTTAAAAAAAATTCATTCAGTATGCTCTCCTATAATATATCCATCTTTATTTAAAAATGTATTGTAACACTGTTATCCTCATAGTAATCTCAATTTGTTTGTAAATGTAACATAATTCATATTTTTGATAAGCAATTGTAATCAAATACAGTTACCTACTTTCGTATCCTGATTACGTAATCTCGTTACATGTAATCTGTTACTCCCCAAATCAGATTATATGATTACTTTTTTCAGAAGTAGGGAAAACTTCAAATCTCTATTGGGAGTGCTGACTTTTGTTCTTCTTTCCATTTTTTTCTCGATCTTTTCTCAGTTGTCTTTGGATAAATATTGCACACCCAATCACAGATGTGTTCCATTTTACCCTATTACAGCATATTGTACTATTTCCTACGTGGCTATGTCTCACCTCCGCTCTCCAGCACGGGGTATGCTAGGTTCTGTTTTCCAGGAAAGAGGCTTATATGAATCCTGTTAGAATTATGGAAAGAGAAAACAAAATGTGTGGCTATTCAGTATCACATTCATAAAGGTAATAATTTCATATTTTCACATCATGCAAAATATGAATCTATTCAGGAAGAAAATTACCAGTAAAAAAAAGCGACATAACTAGCCTGGCTCCATGCAAAGGAAATGGAATAATCTACACGCTTCTCGAGGATTGACAATAAGGAAATGTTAATGATTGAGCGTTAAACCTGCAGTTAGGTTAATGTTTCTGTTTGGGTTTTTTTACACTGAAAAAAGTGAAACGTTGACCTTAATTTGTTATTATGTCAACAGATTTCCCCTAACTGTATTAGGTTAGTTGAAAGCAATTATATTAAGTTTAAATAAAACAATATTAGATTCAACTTAATTGTATTGCTTTCAACTAACCTAATACAGTTATGTGAAATGTGATGACGCAATACATTTAATTAGTCAACGTTTCACTTTTTTCAGTGTACTTTTGGACAAAGTGAGGTTAGCTGTTTTCCCTTTCTTTTAAAACTCTTAACTCTTATGAGAGTGATTTAGAAACTTACATAGTGGTTTCTGTTGATCCATCTCAGTTGACTGTGTTGAGCTTCTGTGTGATCACAAACATAATCTAATGTAAAATTGTGAGCATGATAATCAATGAATACACAAGAACACAGCTCTTCCTCATTCTCACCTTCACTTCTCTGGTCTGCCTCAGTTTTTACCACAACATCGCCATCTTCTGGCTTTTTACCGGCCCTGCTGGTTGCCGTGCGGATGAGGGCCACGGGGCCCGAGGGGGAGGAGAGGTCGGGGGGGCTCTGTGCTTTGACCTCTGTGCTGCTGTCACTCTGGCCTCTGCTGCACACACAGGGTTATGTTTTATTACAGCAGGGGGGCTTTGTGGGAGGGGGTCTTCAGGCAGACCACCCTCCATTGTCAGATACTGGTCAAACAGCAAACATGTGTTCACATATATACAGAGGTGGAAGAAGTACTCAGATTATTTACTTAAGTGAAAGTAGCATTTCTACAGTGTAAAAGTGCTCGGCTTAAGTAAATGTCCTGCATTCAAAATATATTTAAAGTATCAAAAGTAAAAGTACTCAATATGCAGAATGACCATTTAAGCGCCATATATTTTGTATTTGTTGTATCAGTTATTTGTGCAGGCTGTGGAGGCTATGTATCTGTTCATCACTTCAGTTGCACTTGATAAAATTGGATTTATTTGAATTACTTTATATAATAATGTGTTGCCTAACCTATAATAATTTACGATCATGAATTATTTGATTTATATAATTGTATTCATAGTTTACAAATCTGCAGAGTAGCTAGTAACTTAATATGTTAAATAAATGTAGTGGAGTAAAAAGTACAACAGTGGCCTACAATATGTAGTTGAGTAAAAATATGAAGTAGCATAATGTGAAAATGTACAAGAGTTTGAGTAATGATGATATACTAACTCGAGTGCTGCTCGTAAACTCCGGAGCTCCTCTCGCAGCCTATTGTTCTCTTTTTTCTGGTTGTTCATTTCTCCCGCTACAAGTCAGACAACAAGCCATGATCAGAGCTTTGGACAACAACGTTTTCTTTTAAAATGTATTATTAGGTGAAAGAAAAAACATGGATAGAGTTTGAAAGAGACTTGTTCTTAATGGAAAAGGAAAAGAAGTATGACAGCGTTTTCGGGCAGATTCAAATGAAATCACAGAGCAGGTGGAGGGGGGGTAATATAAATAAAAAATATATATTTCAGAGATTAAAATAATTAAATGTTAAAAATTAACAATGATGAACATGTAAATATAAAAATGTTCCCCATGTACATCAAAACTATAGGTCATTGTTGATGCTGACCCATCTATCTTTGGCCGTACTATAATAAGGCAAAACTATAAAAAAATTAAATAAAGCATAATAATAATAACAGTAAACATCTTACCAAAATACCCATTCTCTAGGATAATAACGTGTCCAATTTGCAAAGAAAGAATCTGAAATACTAAGATGAAAATGTACCATACAATCCTTATATGCCGTCTTAAAGAGAGATAAGAAATATATCAAATGAAAAAGTTTTAATGCTGATTCAGTCTGACGTGACAGAGTATGATGAAGGTGACAGATGGGAATGGATGATCAGGGATTTGAAAGGCAAGTAGAATACCCAGCAGGGAGAGGTTGTGCAGGCTCTGGATCTGAGACGCTTCAAACTCCTGCTGTCTTCTCTTAGCCACTTCCTGAGTCACCGTGCACCTGTCACACAGACCCGCCCTCAGCCTGAAACACACATCAGATAATCCATAACACACATCCTATTTTTACATTCACATACATCACACACAGGCCACAGTGAGACCACAACACTTTGAATTCAGTCAACTAAATTGAATTTATAAGCATTCAATTGCACCATTTCCTAATTCAATACACCTTGTGGTCGATAATGTTAGCAAACATTAAACAGATTATATTGTGTTAATGGCATTCATGTTAGCTGACTTTTTTCCACTTGTGCTACTATTAACCTATAGTGTTTATATGACCATTATATCATTTTGCCAAAGTGTTTGTAATACATTTTTGATTCAACCATTATTTAACCAGTAATACATTGGGATTAAAAACCTATTTTTCAGAGTGTGCTGGCCAAGACAAGCAACAAAAAAGTACCCAGCGTGTGTAGGCATCACAAAGACACATGAACAAAATGTCCTAAATGGAACTATCAATTATAATTTCTAGAACCACAGTGGCATCCGTACCTGTTCTCCAGGGTCTTGATGTTCTCTGTGAGGAGTCTTTGCTGTTCTTTCATCTGCTGGTTTTTGGTGAACAGATCTTCCATTCGCTTTGTATCACTGTTTACATGCAAACACACATAGAAACAAACATACACGCACTCACTGTCAGATACGCATCAAACAAGAATAAGGCTGCTGTCTGAATGTTATGAGATCACACAGCGTGTCTGATTTATATGTTCAGTGAGAAAGCATTATTGTGATAACAGACAAATCAGTTAGTAGAATCAGAAAACAATCCCTGTGCCTTTAAAATATCACATGCTGTTCTTAACATGTAAATACACCCTCTACTTATGTTCATGTAAAGTTATCCATTACATTGATTATGTAATACTTATTGCAGCACTCTTCGCACTAATGTGTTGTTAGCTGCAGGTTACAGAAACAGGGTGACTTACATATAAACATAGTATTTGTTGTTCATTGTTGCTTTTATATTTTTTTCATTTATGCCTCTATCTACCTACAGTACTGTATGTACAAAGTAAAAAAAAAATAGTTCTAGGTTTATTTTTACCTACTGGTATTTTATCCTTGTGTAGTTTTGTTCTTGTTTTAGCTGTGCTTCTATCTCTATTTCTAATGGAACTGTACGTTAATTGAGAGCAACATAAACCCGAGTCAAATGAATTGTATCAGAACACAGACATATACAACATCACTGATTCACCTATGAGCATTTAAAATACAACAAACTGAATAATTCTGCACTAATGGTCAGTGCTGTATTAATGTATTATTGGATTTTAATTATAATTACACATCAACATGTAAGCTCTACTTCTGCTAAACTGAAGCATACTGTCATCTGGAATGGAATGACATCAATGCAGTAAAAGGAGTTGATCTGACTTTAAGTTACAGGTAAGGCACAACCTGTAAAGCACAGTACGTCTGACGAGTTATACCAGCTGACATTCTAATGAATCAGCTATTGAGCCACAATAGGTGGACCAGTGTTTGATAGAGATGAGATGATTCACTATAAGATGTAAAGACATTCTTGAATAGAGTGGTGCAAGAACAAGTCGTTAAACCTTGGTATGAGTTAGCATTTGACCACTTAAGCTACCTCATCTCTGAGTACTTCTACCACGTCTGCCAAATATGTTGTTATATTCCAAAAAGCAATGGAGAAATCCCATTGCTTTTTGTGGAGGGAGCCCTTGCTAGACATCATCACTGTAACTTTCTATTGTAGCAATGATCTAAAATAAGACGACCTCTCTACCAGGATGATTTTCCACTGGTTTTAAAAAGAAACAAAAGTGTTGTGACTCAGACTGAATAACTTGTTGCAACATGAGCTTCCTCACAAGCTCTCCGTGACACACGGACACACACGGGGCCAGGTGCAGGAGCAGCCCGGTCCACACACTGCTGGCTCTACGGCTAAACTTGAATATCTTGAAAGCGTTGTCTAAACATGACCATTGTAAAACCTCAGGGGGTGAGAGATCCACCCACCAGCCTTTCTTATTGGACAGTTCTTGGATTTTCATCTGCCACCCTGAAAGTCAAACACACATGGTTTTAACCCTTGACACAGGATACTCTGCACATTACAGCTGCTTTACAACTTTTGATTGCTTCTGGTTTCCCGTTTTACACTCACCTTCAACTTGCCGCTCGTGGACCTCCCTCAGTTTCAGGAGCAGGCTGTTGAAGCACTCCATTGTTACCTCTTCTGTTTTCAGTCTGATTGCACAACAGAAGAGAGACAGAAAATATTTTGTCAACGTTTTGGATTGATTGAATGAAGCTGAAAGCGATGATAATGCATTATAAACAGACTTAAGTAACATTACAATCTGCGTATAGTACTGCATAATCACACAGTACTCCTGAGTTCTCCTAGATATTGTAGAAGGCACAAGTGGACAGAATTAAAAGAGCTCCAGTTGGCCTTCAACTAGGAAATAAACTTGGAATGATTGATAGAAATATGACCTTTTTGATTGTTACAAGTACAGTGAAAAAATGAAACGTTGACTTTAAATAATTGTATTATGTCAACAGATCTCACATCACTGTATTAGGTTAGTTGAAAGCAATAATATTAAGTTGAACCTAATATGTTATTTAAACGTAAACTTATTGCTTTCAACTTACCTAATACAGTTATGTGTTATTAGTTGACCTAATACATTTAATTAAAGTCAACGTTTCAGTTCTTTCAGTGTATGAATGTAAAGAAGGTGGCATCAGATCTGGGTCATCATTTATTTGCTCAATCTGTTTGCATTGCACTTTGTTTTATTTACTTTTATAAACACCAACTAATACCACCTTAGCAAAGCCTTGTGATATTTATTGCAATTTATTAATGTTTGGCTTTTAAATTATTTTATACGCAGATTGATAATGCGCATAAAACCCTACAGATAGCCAATGAAATATCCTTTAGGGTGTATTAGACTTGAAAGTACACAATTGTATGACCATTCACTTTTTCATTCATTTTCTTTCTCCCCTGCACTAAAATAAGATAAATCTACTAATGTGTGAAGATAGTGAGACATTCAAGGTTGTTGGCCGTTGTGGCCTGGGGACTGTGTTGTGTTCAGGGTGTACGTCACACACTGCTGCTGCATAAAAGCTGCTACACGAATGTGGCGGCAAATGTTGTTGTTATATCAAGGATGATAGGAACCCGATAGACTGGTTCTGCGAAGGGTTGTGTTTCAAGTATCCAAAACCCCAGCTCTTATACATTGTGTATATGAATGCAGATTAGTACAGCACATGGTGTCGATTTGTGTCACTGATTACAAATAAGATATTTTGTTGATTTTAAGTCTCAATGCAAGCAGGTGACTTAAAGTGTCACTTTCAGCTTGCTCATTATTTCACATGATCACTAAAAGCACATTCATTGAACACTATTGAGCATTTTGATCAGCGCGGATCAGACGCTCTCAACGTGTCGGGATATGTCAGGAAAAGGGTGTCAGTCGAGCAAGAAAAGACCTGTCTGCCTCCATGTGCCCGCTCTGCTGTCTCCAGATCAGTATTCTCACGCACACAGGTTGCCAATATGTCTTACCTACTTGTGAACTAGCATTGAATTCCCAGAATCTTTAAATCTGTTATGTCTGATGCTACTCTATGACACTCCTCCCACTATTAGCATTATCACATAAGGTGGAAGTATGCAGCCTTGGATGCTCTACACCTACTGTGTAGAAATATATGCATATGTGTGTAGTTGTCAACCTGGCTGCTTATCTCACCACTGGAGCTTCAGCAGAATCAGAATCATGTCAGAATCAGAACACCTCCCATCTGCTGCTGCTCTGCTGTCTGACAGAAACCAAACTTGAGAAGATGTTCAGCTGCTGAAATGTATTCACTGCAGTCACCCTTTATCGACTGATTCTGTTTGAATCAAGTAAAAAAACCTCTTTGGGAGCTGCTGTTGGAGCTGCTTTGCTTCCAAACCTCCCATTGTCCAACTGTCTGAGTATTAGTTTTGCAAGAGTATGGCTTTAAAGCAAATAACAATACATGATAAATGACAGAACTCCCCCCCCCAACCACACGCACGCACGCACTCACACACACACACACACACACACACACACACACACACACACACACACACACACACACACACACACACACACACACACACACACACACACACACACACACACACACACACACACACACACACACACAAAGGTGCAAAGCCTGCTACATTGAAATCAGAAGTTAGAAAGACAGAGTTATTTACTTAATTAAAAAAAGAAGGAAAATAAAAGAATAACCTAAATACTTATCATAAGGCATGATGGCGCACACACACACACACACACACACACACACACACACACACACACACACACACACTCATATGACTCCAGAGCAGATTTATTTTTGCACATTATATTCACTTAAGTAAAGGACTTACAAGCAACTATAAATAAAATCAACTATGAGTTGTGGTTGTATGCCAGCTCTGTCCTTGCCAGTCCTCCAGCCTGCTGCACATACCTGCCCCCCCCCGCTCCCTGTCAGGTAATGTATTCCGGCCCTCAGGCAACAACTTCAGCTCATTCAGATGGAAACTCACCTCTGATATCGGAGGCCGTCTCCTGCCCTTCACTCGCCCGGTGCTAGAGATGATCTGAGTGATACAGAGACAGAGCGATAGTGAGGAGAAGAGAGGAGAACAAGGCGAGAGAGAACGCCCCACACCCTCCCCTCTCTCCACCCCAAAAAACCGGTTGAAGCTGTTGTCCCCTTAAGTAACGCAAACACTGAGGCCCGGGCAAGTTGGCCCTTGATTTTCCTGTTCTACTGAAATCCCACATAACTGGCTAAACTGGTCCCATAAAGCCCTGTGGGGATAGAGAGAAAAACTGACTGGCAAACACAAAGCAGCAGAGCAGAAGCCTGGCACGTGGAAATCAGAAGTTAGAGTTATGTATTTCATTCAAAAGAAGGAAAGAAAATAATAACTCAAGTAACCACGTAGATTTGTTCCATGTTTGCTACTTTGTACTTCTACTCCACTACAGTTCAGAGTTAATTTGTCTACTTTTACTCTACATTTATTTAATACCTTTAACTAAAGGTAAAATAACTACTTGTGGATGAATGATGTGAAATATAATCAAGTGTTAAATCAGACTTTAGTTCCACCTGGAGTAAATTAACAAGTTACCCTGCAGTATACAAAGTCATTCAAACTAGCTGCACCCTTACCAGCTTTGAGAACACTTTCATGATCAATCATTATAAAACATGTCATAGATATTATTCTGAAATGGACCAATCTGCACAATGACTACTTTTACTGTCGCTACTTTAACTATATTTTGGTGCTAATAATTGTATACTTTTACTTGAGGAACATTTGAAGGACTTTTACTTGTAACAGAGTATTCTTACTCTCCAATGCTTCTACCTTTACTTAAGTACGAGATCTCAGTACTTCTCCCACCTCTGATAACCTGGTGATAAGGCAAAATTCATAGCCCATCGAGTGCTGGAATGTAATACATTATATAAAAGACTCCTTGTGTCTCAAACTTTAAACTGTATGAATGTTAGACCCAGAGGTTGGAATCAGGCAGTTGGAGTGAGATAATAGTTATAGTCTACATTTTTGTCCCACACCATAAAGGATTCATATCTTGAATTCTGTTAGTTTGTACCATACTGTGTGAGTGAGAGGAGCCATAAAGCAGCGGCAGGGTGCGGTGGACTCGCTGACAGTGGTGATGGTATGTAAATACTATGAAAAACAACAGACAATAGCACTGGCACGTATGTTGACACTGAAACTGCACAATAGATATGATACATGCCTCATCTGAAAAAACGCCATTTCCTGATTCCTAAACCAGATTCCTTATAACCGGCCTGACGGGGCTGAGGCAGCATCTTTGCTGTCATCTTCCTCCTCTCTGCCCCGGCCGGCTGTCACAGGTTTCATACATTCTACACCTACAGTATGAGAAGATCAACAGCATGAACTGTGATTATATGTTCTGTTGAAAGAGTTCACTGATGTGACGTCCAGGCATACAATGGATCCCTCCTGTAGAGCAGTTGTTCCCAACCGGGGTTATGGGGGCACCTAAGGTTACGTGAGGGGATTGCAGGGGGTCTGTAGAGAGATTAGGGATTGCAATTTATTAAATTGTGAATCAATTTTCATTAGCCCGGTGTTTGCAGTCTAGTTTGGCGTCCACAGGTAACTGTTCCTCTCGAGATGGTGTTGATTGATTGACCTCTGTAGCTACGGCGGCGCGAATAGCAACGAGCTAACATTAGCTGCAAAGTGTTGGTAAGAATGGATGCATGGTGAGGCAGGGACAAAGCTACCGGTCCCATCGCTGCAAAACCGGGTTTAAGATAGAACAGTAAAGAAGAAAAAATACAAAAAACCAGCAGTTCGGTGAGAAATACATTCATCATCTTAGTTGTACATCTTTTGATCCGTCGCAGCCAGACTTCAGCCCTTTTTATGCGGTGAAGCCTGGCTAGTAATTCTATGAAGCCAGCGCACATGCAGCATCACCGGAGCACCAAACACACAGGGAGTGTTTGTAGGCGAGTAATCACAGATGAGGGAGGGGGTTCTTAAAGAATTGCGACCAGCTCAAGGTTGGGAGCCACTGGTGGACAGAACAGACCAAAAGAATAGTTACAATATCAGAGTTCAGGATGACAGTACAGATTTATTTGAAGTATACGGATATGGAGAGAAGTCCAAATACTTGGTGCAGCTTGAATAACAGACTCTGAATCACACCACTTGGTCTCCACCATAGAGATCTGGGAAGAGGACGGACTACATGAAGGTGTCAGTGACTACAGGAAACAAACAAAGAGGCTGACTGAGGTCAAGCCTTGTGGCAATTGTCTTATGCGCTATCTAAAAATGTATTGCTGAGATCAAAACGGTAACTTCATGAAACATTTAGATGATCAACTTATTACAACATGGACAAAGACATTTTTATTAGTAATCAAAGCACTGTTAAAGTTTGCTGTCAACAAAAAAATACAGCGACCCTCCACACAACTCACCAGAGTTTGGGGGTAACGCGCTACAAAGTAACACGCTACTCTAATTAGATTACACTTGTCTCTAATGGTTTATGGTGCATCTCACGTGAGGTTACACAGTAGTCCAAAACTAATATAACTAGTAGTGTAACTAATTACTTTCAGCAGTGAGTAATTTAGTAAAGTAAGGCATAACTTTTTTAAAGGTATAATGTGTAATGCATTACTTTTTTTAAGTAACCACCCCAACACTGCTCCTCACACAGGTGAACAGCTGATTATAATCCATATGACTGCTGCCTATATCCATGTGACCCACACAAACCAACTCATTGCGATCACACAATAATATATTATAATATTTCAAACCATTACCCATACAAAAAATATATACTACTACAAACCTAATTACTATGAAGGTTTCCCATTTCTCAAATTCCCCTCCTCGACTCCCCTCCTCGACTCCTATCCTCGTGTCTTAGTCCCGCCCACAGGAAATGCGAGCGGAGGAGTCGAGGAGGGGAACCGAGGAGAGAGGAGGGGAAGCAGCAGGCGGTTAGAGAAATGAGAACTCCTCTCCTCTGAGCGGTCATTTTAAAGAGACGTCCATTAACGATGACAGAAGGCACAGCAGCCCTCTGTCTGATGGACAGATGTGTTCATGACCACTTATATATTTACTTTAATTAATTCACAATGCGGTATAATGAGATAATAACAGGCTAGATGCAGACATACACACACACACACACACACACACACAGATATATTTATATAAATCTAAACAACAGAATCAAACAAGTATAAGAGCACTCTCATAATAACGTAACACAATTACTCTCTGGTCGCTACAATGGGGAATTTAAATTACGGGCCAAAAGTTAAATTTACAAGTATTAAAAGTATGCATAGGAAACCAAACCAACTGAGACCTGTCTGTCAACTGCATCGGTGCACACACACACACACACACCTACACACTGTACCACACACACCTACAGCTCCTAAAGCATATCATATATATCGGGATACAGCCGTTGTGTATTCATTATGTGAAGCACTAAATGGTTTTAGAAAAATATCGACTCTTTGTTTGTAGATATCTACTAAACTAAAAGCATACAAATAAAGAGAGTAGGCCTGTTATACTGAGTGATATATATTATACACACTGCTCTGCTTTCTGCACGGACCTCACAGCTGTTCTCACTGTAAACATTGCGTCGCGATTCAAGCAGTTAATAAAATAATATCATGGGGATATGGCAGCTGTCATAGAGCTGTCATTGGCTGAGATAAGTCCGGCCGTGCATCACGACTCTTTTAAACATCACTGTTGCCGGAAATACATCCGCGGGGGATCCACGGAGGACCCATCAGTGTCTCCTCGGTTAGAGCTCCTCCAGAGAGCCTCCTCGACGCTCGATCCTCGGTCCTCGAAGTGCATTAAGAGAAATGAGATGTCCTTCAACATGGCGCGCTGAAATTCATTTCCGGGTCACTACCGGAGGACCGAGGAGTCGAGGAGGGGAAATTAGAGAAATGAGAAACCTTCTCTGAGAACAAATTCACCACTTTGTAAGTGTCATGGCTCCTACAGGCACATTTCTCAAACACTTCCAAGTTGCAAGACTTCTGGAAGAGCAGGAAAAGAGCATTTCATTTCATTTCAAACCTTTATTTAGACAGATTGGTCCCTTGAGATCATCGATCTCATTTACAAGGGAGATCTGCATCATTTAGTTCCACATGAAACATAAAAACAACAAACAAACAAACAACAGAGGATATCATATTTACATATTCAACATTTACAAATACCCAGAGTGTCAGAAAGCATTTCATTTAGACGTGCCTTAAATACATTCAGAGAAATAAAAACGCTCAATTTCAATTTTGCCTGTAGACTGTTCCAAGCAAGTGGAGCTGCGCACATAAAAGCTGACTTCCCTAAGACAGTCCTTACTCTTGGACACACACACACACACACACACACACACACACACACACACACACA